AATGTGCACAGGGGGAGGGGGGAGCCCGGGGTACTTGCAAGATGTGGATCCTGCCCAGATCCTTCCCTGTTCTTGGGGTTTTCCCCCAAAGTAGCCATGGGAACACAAATTCTCTCCTGCAAGTGTGCACTGGCAGCACCAAACATCTCCCGTGGCTGCCTGAGCAGAGTGGGTGAAAAGTCAGCATTTCTGGGGGTTTTTATTTTTAAACCATCAAGTTTGTGTGAGCTGCAGCTGCCCAGCTGTGCAGAGGCCTCCCCTGGTCTCACAGGGTGAGATTTCCATTTTTGAAGGCCCTGGAGCACTGCCCAGGCTCACGAGGGTGACCCCAGAGGCCCTGGGCTGAGGCAGGGCCAGCTCTGCTCCTGTGGCCTGAATTCCAGGATGGAAATGGATATCCCTGGGTGTCTGTCTGTGTCTGCAGCTTTCTCAATTCTTCCCCAGGGAAAGGACAACTGGGGAGTGCTGGATCCAGGCTGCCAAGAAAAAGCCAACAACAGCAGACTGCAGATAATTCTGTTTGCTGGTGTAAAGGAAGAATTAACAGCAGCAACCCTGAAACTTCTGCCCAGGTGAAGGGAGAACTGAGGTATGCATGAGGCTGTTCTGCTGATTTTTGGGGAGCTGCCTCTGCCATCTTCTAAAATCCAGCAGCAGGAAAGGCAATCCCTGTAACATTGCACCCTGGAGTTTATTCCAAGAATTTTCTGATCCTACTTGGAGCAGGAGCCCCGAAGGTGAAATATTTCCTTTTGTCACCTGGTCAGGGAACTGAGGTTATTTCTGGCAGAGCTCAGTTTTCCTTGAGAGCTTTCCTGTCACTTCTAAGTCACTCAAGTCCTACTGGAAAAACTGTGGGATAATCCAAGTCCTGAGCAGCCTTGCTGAGTTCCCTCTTAAAGCAGTGTGACACTTTGAGGGCAGACAGCCTTTTCCTAAGGCAGCCACAGCCATCCCTGCATTGGGGTTACCTTTAGCTGCAGGCATTATTCTGTTATCCAGGGAAAATCCCTCAAGATCCAGGTCAGCACCACACCAGTGCCTGCCCTGCTGCCTGGGAGGGGGAGACACCACAGCCTCCCAAGGCAGGGCAGCACAGGCAGGAATCCCTGGCCAGCTGTGGGGATGGATCCACATTTAGAAAGGAAATCTGTTGTCCTGATTCTGAGAATGGTCCCCCAAAGGAATCCAGGAGGGTTTTTCTTGCTTGGGTTCAGAGGTGAGGGCAGTAACTGAGCCCCCACCCAGCTGTCCCATTCCAGCACAGGGCAGTGAAGGATCTTTGGGGGATTTGCTGGTCAGACTGAAAGATTTATTGATGTTTCTGGTGTTTCCTTAAAGCTTGGATTGAACCATGAATCAAATGTGGCCAACCCCAAAGCCCAGCCAGAGTCATCCAGAATCCCAGAATCATTCAGGCTGGAAAAACCTTTGGGATCATCAAGCCCAATGGTGATCCAGCCCAGCCAAGTCCCTGCAAGAGGAGTCTCTGCCCCAGCAAGGAAAGGAGCAGCTGCTGCTTCCTCCAGAAGCTGCTCAGCCATGGTTGGGGTTTGTACACGAGGGAAGGATGCACTGAAGGTAGGTCTGGTACTTTCAGAGCCTTAACCCAGTCTTGGTGCTGATGCACAAGTCTAAGGAATCTCCAGGATCATCATAAATAAGATCCCATGGTCTAAAAGGACAGAATTTTCATTTGGCTGGAGCTTGTTGCTATGACACTGCAAGTATTGCAGGACTTTGTGGTTCTGGGAAACCATGGAGACAGTCTGGATTCCCTGCTTTTGTGCGGGTGAGGATGCTGCACTGATTAATTCCCATTGACCTCTCTGAGGGTGTCTGCGAACCTGAAAAACCCCTTAAAGTAACTGGAAGGCAGAACAGCCCCTGGTGAGCCCAGTGTGTCTCCTGGATGGGTTCTGCATCCCGCGGCTGCCTTGGCTCCAGGAGCACGGGGAGCAGCGGAGCTGGGGCTGCCCTGCGGGCCCGGCCCCGCTCTGGGCACGGAGCAGTCCCAGCCCCAGGGGCGCTCTCGCATTTCAATGGCGCTGATTTGGGGCGTTTCAGGCGCTGCGTGTCCCTGGTGCCTCTCTCCCCGCAGGAATTGGCTGCCTGGTGTTTCCCTCCCCGGCCGGGCAGGATCGCCCGGAGCCGCCAGGGCACCGAGGGACTCCTGCTCAGCCTCAGGATCGCGTTGTCCGGCAGCTCCTGGGGTTTGACTTTGTTTCTCTATTTATATTTAAAGGGCTCCCTCTGAGCTGTTACAGACCAGATTGGACATTTCAGAGGTAAAGAGAGAGAGACTGGGGAGAAAAGAGATGAGAAACGAGCTGGTTCTGGGTGCCTGAGAACTCCCACAGGACACGTGGCTGTGTTTCAGCAGCTTGAAAATGGGTTTGTGTGGGACAGAGCCTCCTTCCCGGGCTCCTGTTTGTGGCAGGGCCGGCGCTGTCAGCAGCTGCCTCTCCTCTCTCATTGCACCTTTGGGGTGTGCAGGGACTGGGAGGCACAAACACCCCTGCTACAGGTCGGGCTGCATTTTTGCTGGGGAAGACAAACGTGTGGCTGGGCTGGGTGGGCCCAGAGCAAACCACAAATATGCTGGAGCATCCAGACTGCAAGGCAGGGACACCCTAATTACCAGAGCTGCCAACAAAGCCATGGCTCATTCCTCGCTCCCTCCCTCCCTGCTGGAGCAGCTCCTCCAGCTGCTGCTCTGGGACAGCAGCTCAGCCTGCCCAGCTCCTCCAGCACTGATCCCATCTGCACCTGCTCCTCCTTCTGTGAAAATGCCAGGTGTAAAGGCTCTGTGTGAGCAGGAAAATGTTCACCCTGCTCAGTGGCAGTGGCTGTGAGTGCTCACTGTCCCTGAGCAGGAAAACGTTCCCGCTGCTTGGTGGCAGTGTGACAGTGGCTGTGAGAGTGCTCACCTGTCCCTGCTGGCCGGTGACCTTACAGGTGTTGGTGGTGACAGTCTCTCTTACCTGGCTGTTCCTCAAGGTACAACTGGTTTAAAGCTGCTTCAATCTTTCCTGTGAGTCCTGGAACCGACTCGGGTGTTCTGAAGGACAGCAGGATTGCTTAAACGGAAAAGAAGGAACATAAAGGCACATTCAGAGGTGTTAACGTGACCGAGCAGCGCGGGCTGACTCACGCTTGGGCAGCAGCAGCAATCAGCTGGGGGTGACGGTCCCGTCCCTGCGCTGGATTTGTCCCTGCAGGGGCCCGTGCTGGCAGTGCCGGTGCCACCCGTGTGTCCGTGCTGTCCCTGCTCGCTCGATGCCACCCTGCCCAAGCAGCTCCCTGAGCGTCCCCAGCCCGGCCCTTTCCCGGCCCAGGGAATTGGCGTTTCGGGGCTCTGCGGGAGCTGCTCGGGGGGTGCGGGTGGATGCGCGCTGCCGCTGGATGGCGCTGTGGCCGTGCGGCACCGGGGGTGGCGCTGGGCAGGGCGGGCCGGGGAGCTGCGCATCCCTTGGGCAGTGCGGGGATGAAGAACCTTCCTGATGCCAGAGCTCACGCTGCTTGGAGTTTTATTTTTTAACCAAACGCTTTCAGGGTCTCCGAGAGCGCAGGAGCCCCGATTCCTTCCCCAGAGCGGGATTTCTGGCGAGGCTGATTCCTGCAGCTTTCGGCCGCCCACAGGAGCCAGGAGAGGGCAGAGGATTCTCGTTCCAGCTCGAAGCTGAGAATTGGAGCTGGGATTTCCACCGAGTGTAAAAACAGAGCTGGGACCAGAGCTTAAATTCAGATGTGTGTGGCTTTTGGGTTTATTAGTTTTATTACGAAATTATATTAATACCAATTTAAAATTTTAATTAAAAAAGCCTCGAACCCCAAATGCTGAGCAAAGGGGATGTAGCTCCCTCATTTTAGATGGCTGGTGGATGGCTGCCCACTGGCCTCTCTCCTTAACAAAACCCCCAAAATTATCAAATGACCGTGCTGACAACCTCAATCCCTTCAAATTAAATATTGATTCTGCATTTTTCTGTTGACTCATGTGAATCAGGAGGCGTTTCCAAGGCATCTCTTTCTGCTGCTCGGTGCCGGTGTCCCCCGGAGCCGGAGCCTGTTGTTTGTGCTCGAGCAGGGAGCCGAAAATGCTGATTTTTCTCCCACTTGTCTTGCATAACAAAAGGCATTTGTCACCCGTTACATAACGGCGGGTTTGTCACTGCTCCTGGAGGCTCCCCAGCACCCCCGGGCCCCACGGGCCGATCCTGCACCAGCTCCGGGCCCGGCCTTTATTCCCTCCTGCATGGGAAGACGTGGAGCTGTAGGGTTTGCTGTGGCTTTTTAGAGAGCAAAAGGACGGAAGGGTGTTTGGAGGATTTTTTGCTGTTTAATATTTGAGGGGCAATGCTGTTTGTCCTTAGCTGAGGGTGCCCAGGCCTGCAGGCAGGGCTGTGCTGCAATGGAGCTGCGGTTCCTCTCTGCAGCAGCGCCTGTCCCCCGCTGCTCCCTGGGCTGCTCCCTCAGGGCCTCTCCTCTCACCTCGGTGTCTCTGATACCAGCAGGAATTTGGGGTTGGGTTTTTCTTTACAGTGGGTTTGATTCCCTCCTGGATGGAATGTCTCCTTGGAAGAATTATTATTATTATTATTATTATTATTATTATTATTATTATTATTATTATTATTATTATTATTATTATTATTA